TGTACCATGCCTCCTGATGTAGGGCACTAAGATGAATAAAATATGCTTTGGTGGTACTCTTGGCAAAAGTGCATAGCCTGGAGCTCATTACGAAGAACCAGTGGGCAAACCCAGGCAGGATGTTCCTCAAGGCTTACAAAGTTAACTAGCCTTTGCACTGTAAAGAGTCTGCTCTCTCTAAAGCTGGGTTATCTTTGTACACCCTTTGTTTTCTGGGTAGGTTCATGGAACTCGCCATCTATAAATATCATGAAGCATACAACTGTGGAACTGCTCTTGATTCACGGAGACTAGAGACATGATAAATGAAGGCAACATGTCATCTGGGCTTTCTCTTTCGCTGTAAAGGATGCTACAGGAAAAACTGAAGATTGAACATACTCTGCACAGAATAGCATCGCCTCAATGTGAAATGCTGATCCTGATAATCATACTGTGGTTATGCAAGAAAATGCTTTCTATTTTTGTGCTATCTATACTAAACTACTAGGGGGAAAAGATATTTTATCTTCAACTTTCAACTGGATCAGAAAAACATTGGATAAAGAGTGCAAATGTGCTAAAATACTGACTTGGTGGACTTTGGTGAAGGACCTGTGGGGAGTCTTTGAACGCTTCTTACATTTTTCTGTTCATGTGCAATTATGTCAAAAATTTGAAAGAAAAATACTATATATATTTTGAAAATATTGAAAAGAAAATCTAGTTAAAAGAATGTAGCTAATATCTCTGAAGCTTCGCATGCTTTACCTTCTTAGATATAACAAATGCTTGTTCTTTTTAAAAATATTTTATTATTTCCATTTTATGTGTATGAGTATATTGCCAGCATGTATGTGAGTATATCTGTGTCTTCCAATGCCCGTGGAGTCAGAAGAGGGCAGTGGATCACCTGGGACTGGAGTTATAGATGTTGTGAGCTGCCATATGGGTGCTGGGATTTGAACCCAGGTTCTCTGCAAGAGCAGCCAGTGCTCTTAACCATTGAACCATCTCTCCAACCTAGATATATGCTTATTCTTATCACTGTGTTTTTTTTTTCCTTTTCTTTTTCTCCTAGTGTTGAGGATTCAACCCCAGAGAGAGTTTCATGCATATGCTCTACCACCAAGTCACATCTCCAGGTTTTCACACTTACTATGTCAAAATAAGAGACTTTCCTTTAACTTTACCCTGCTTTACTCTTTTAATAATATGTGATACAAAGAATATCCACTTTTTTTTTTTAACATTTATCTGTTTTGTTTTCTCTTCTAACATGTGGTCATACAGCAAAGAAGAAACATAGAACTAGGGTTACTTAAGAAGCTGATTTTCCTCTCTAAGAGCCCATGGGTTCCCCTTTGTCTACATTCTCCATGATATTTGTTATTTTTACACTGATGGTGAGAATGTAAACTAGTCCATCCACTATGGAAGTCAGTACAGAAGTTTCTCAAAAAACCAAAAACATATCAATCCTATGACCCAGCTGTACTAATCATGTGATTTACCCAAAGGACTCTAAGTCAACATATCACACAGAAATTTGCATATCAATGTGTATTACAGAGCTGTTCACAATAGGTAAGTCATGGACCCAACCTAGGTGTCTAACAGCAGGTGAGCGGACAAAGAGAATGCTGTGTATTTATATATATATATATATAGGAATTTTTTTCAGCCATAAGGGAGAATGAAGTTACGCTGTTTGCAGGAAAATGGATGCAGCCAAGATTATCAGATAAGAGAATCGAGCCAGTCTCAGAAAGATATGCACATTTATGCACGTGACATGAAACTGTCTGGGGACAGAGGGGACTAATGGGAGGGGGAGCGAGAGGGTGGAAAGGGGGAGAATATGCTCACATAAAATCCATACTTGGATGAAAAATGTTTAAAAATCCTATGGGGCTGGGTGTGTATGGCTCAGTGGCGGAGTTCCTGCCTAGCATGTGTTCGCCTTGGGTTCTGCCCCTAGCATGGGAACGAGGAATAATTTTATAAATACCATTTCTATATTAAAATGAATTTGGCAAAGCACATCTTTTCAAAAGAATGACCTAACCTGATGAGGGCAAGGACTGCCTGGCTCACCCACAGACTCCAAGCACTGTGCTTATACACAACTGGACTCACCCATGGACTCCAAGCACTGTGCTTGTACACAACTGGACTCACCCACGGACTCCAAGCACTGTGCTTGCACACAGTAGGGCTCACCCTAGAGTCCAAGCACTGTGCTTGCACAACAGGCTCTCAGTACTATGCATCTGTGGAGCGAAACAACTTCTGCTCAAAGCAAGGCATCCCAGGAGCTGAGCCTTAGTTTTTTGTCACTTAATTTAATCATTTTCATGGTTACAAGATAATATCTGGCTGTACCTTTTCTTAGTGGTACATTCCGTTGCTAAGCTTTTTGTGTAGTCTTCTGATTTTAAAAACTTTGGAGCGAGACCTTGTATGAGTTGCTGAGTTGCCATGATTCAAAAATCACTTCTTAAAATGAAGTGCTTTCAAGATGGCCTTCACCGCTCATTTTTCTTTGCCTTGGTAAAACACTTCTGTGGGCTATATGGCTCTCTGGAATGTAGGCTGTATTTGAAGTGTGATATCTGGATTACTGGCATTATTCTACATGCTACTAAAGGAGTGTAGAAGATAAAATAGTCCCGATGAAACACAACACTTCAGTTTCTTTTGTACGTATCTTTCAAAGAAAATGCCTAAGAAACAAAAAACTCATCAAAACACTGTAAAGCATTCTGCTTGCTGGTCAAACAAAAGATTTAACTCTACAGTCTGAGGGACTGTCTACCCAGTGGTAAAGTTTTGCGTTATGGGAATGCTTTTCCTACTAGAGGGGAAGGAACCTCAGGACATTCACACTCTGATCTCCCCCACTTCTGCTTTCCTACCCTTTGGAAATGAGGACTACAAGGAGTGAAGAGGCTGGAGTCCAGCCAAGGCTAAGGAGGGCAAAGCCCCAGGAGGGAAAGCCCAAAGCAATCACACCAGCTCCCACTTCTCAAAGACTTGGGTTAAAAGAAAAGGAACATGAAGAACAGAGAGAGAGAGAGAGAGAGAGAGAGAGAGAGAGAGAGAGAAAGTGAAAGTGTGGCACAAGCCAGAGGCAGAAGGGGCTGATCTATAACAGCCAAGGACTCAAAAGCCACTTCTCAGAGAGGAAATAGGAGGGGTCACACTAACTCACTGTCTAGTGTGGCCAGGGACTAAACTAGTCACTGTGATAAGGACAGTCAAGATAAAACCAGGAAATGTTTATTGACTGCTGGCTCTGAGCTAGGTACCATGCTAGTACTTAATATCGTCTCAGTTAATCTCAACAGCCTATGGAGAGGCACTCATATTTTCCCCATTCAGCAAAGAGACACAGGCCTAAAAAGAAACACTGCCACAGCCACTTAGCAAGTGGCTGGGTGGCACATAAATAAGCTGTTGTTTTAAAGCAGCGTTTTCCCTTTTAAATTTTTATTTTGGTGGAGGATAAGATGGTAATATTCCATGAAATTCTGATAAAAATATATGTTATTTTGCTCGTAGAAAAGGAATATGCACAAACATACAACAAGCTTAGAAAGCTCACCAGAAGACAGTGCCTTGGAACTGTATCAAGAGCTGGAGTGGCACCATGTCACCTGTGGGCAGCAGGAGGCAGGAGAGTTCTGTCCCTAAATGCAACACAGTCTTAAGAAATGGGCTTGGGGGGGCGTTTCGCCGAGAAAGCCCCAAAGGATGAATGAGGGTGGGGAGTTGCCAGAACCCAGCCAGCACTGTTGAAAGTCAAACTGACTCCATCGAGGAACTGATGACTTAGGAGTATTTATGGAGTGATGCCATTAAAACCTTCCAGACAGAAAAGATCCTCTGTTCAGATTCAGCACATTTTCATATTCTGGCTCTGCAGGTAGGTGTCCACCTTCCAAGGAGACTATGCCAGCTACAGTGGCACATGCCTTTAATACCAGCACTCAGGAGGCAGAGGCTGGAAGATCTCCTGTAAAATTGAGTCCAGCCTGGTCTACAAAGTTCCAGGCCAGCTAGGGCTACAGGGAGACCCTGTCTCAAAAAAAAAGCAACAAAAAACAGAAGTGTGCCCTGATTGTACCTCTCATTCTGTGTGACCCTGGGCCCACTCTCAAAGACAGGCATTTTTGGGGTGATAAAAGCAGCCTGGCAACCTGTGAGGCTGGTCACTCGGTGATGTGGTGGGCAATGCACCTAAGCTGGCTGGCCTGGCTTGGAGAACATCTTACCCTGCTGCAGACATTCCTATAGGCTTTCAATTGTGAAGTTTACTTGGTCACTGCCTCTAGGAAACCAGAGTCTACTGCAGCAGCTCTAAAGTGTGGCCTGGTGACCTCCCTTAGGAGCATGTCTGTGAATCAAAATTATTTCATGGTGACACGACACCATTTCAGGTTGTTTTCACTTTTATACAAGTGTACAGAGACTCCATGAGGTGAGGTCATGAGAGACCGAATGACAGCAGCTGGGAGAGGCCAGCAGTCAGCTTTCAAACTGCACAATCAAAAGGTTTGCAAAAACATTAAATGACACTACCTCCTTTGATAATTCATCTTTTAGCTTTGAAACTGCCCATAAAACATGGTACAGCTACTTATTATTTTAAAACTAGTATCATCAATATATATTTAAACATTTCTTAGTTCCATACCAAACAGATATAAATACCAAATAAATATAAGTATTTATAAAAATAAAAAAAAACAGAAACAAAGTCCAATAGCGACAGATAGAAAACTCACATAAATTAATTGTTTGATTCTCAATAACTGAATGCAAAAGGGCTCTAAGAGCAAACAGTTTGAGAACCATGTCTCTAGTGGCCCCAGACAAGGATGTAAGGGCCCTCTGCAAGCCTGAGCTTCCAGTGGGTTCCATGAAGCAGGCTCCCAGGGGGAGACCAGTGGCTTCTCCCAGGCTGCCTATTTCCAGCATGGCACACTGACCCAGGGTTCCTGTTGTCTGTGTCTCACCTTTACTCCCGTAGAGCTCTGGGGGCAGGTCATAAGGCACAGGAAAGGAGGCTGTTGGCTCATGGCTGCCAGAGAAGAACTTTTGCTTCACTTTGAAGCTGTCCAGGCCCTGTAGACACACAGAGGGAGTCTACGATTGAATCTTGCTTTCTAAAACTCCACAGGATCCCAAGAAGTAACTATGTCACCCATAAAAGAATTCAAGTAATTTACGAGTTATTTTTTATGTTGGTTAGGCAAATATGTTTTACAATCCCCTAAAATCATTTTCTCTCCCAAAACTAAGAAAGGCTTACATTTAGGAATGAAGTTAAAAGCCCGCAGAGTTTAACAAAGGACAAAGAGATGCAGAAGGAACCTGGGTATAAGAGCCTGTTTCTACCAAGCACTATGTACAGTTGGCAGGGGGTTTGCAGAACTCTCTGGATAAAAGTACCCCACAATACTTTCAATATTGCTTGAGTAATAGGCTGCCTGTTCTAGAGTAAAAAGTTGCTTTCATGTATATTGAAAGCTTTCATATAATGAGATAGGACAACAAAAGTGAAAATTCTTCAAGACCTACCAAAATGTAAGGTTTATTCCAAGAACTTTAGAACAGAGTATAAATCTTAATTCTGAATTAAGTGTTGGGGAGGGTCGCTACCTGGGCTGCTATGCACACTGCCTCTCTTCTCACAGGCCAGCAGAGTACAGGTGTTTAACACATTAGGACCTCCCCTCAGGACCCCTCAAAGCATGCCAGCACCCTGCTTATTAGTCTGTCCCACTGTCCTTAGTCCTTCTGTCCACCCACACAAAGACCTATCCTCCATGTCATAACACATACCAAACAAGGCTAATGTCTTAGGACATAGCAAAAGAACAGGGTTAGAGCCCTTAATCACCTTGGTAAGGGAGGCTGGTCTCAGGTACAGTGGAGGATATGGCAGGGCAGTCACACTGACTTGGTTTCAGACACTCTTGAGTTCTAGCCTTGGCTTTGTCATTCACTAAGCCATGTGAATGGCTGATGTAAGCATCCATCCATCCAAACTATTTCTCAAGCTGAAGAAATGAAGGAGCTCCAACGGCCTATGGTCACTGCACCTATCTCTTATAATTTTGTAATATCTGTATCCTAAGCCCTTGCAGTGTGGGCTTATTTGCATAATAAATGGCTAAAAGGGAAAGTGCTGACCACGACCCCATTCAACTGAAATGGGAATGATGACAAGAGCTGCACAGTAAAAGCAGCACCACTCTGAACCCATGATGTCAGCTGCCCAGTCTCCCCTCACTATAAGGTCAAAACCCCATCAGAACATGAACATGGACATGTGGTCCAGAACATATGTGAACATACAATAAGCTCTGCTCCACAGCCTCCCCTTACCCCTCTCCTTGGAAGTTCCTTTTCCCTGTTGGGTAGCCCAAGACCCTACAGAGGCCAACAATTCTTTGTCCTTGAGGAACTTGGGAACTTTTGTACAACACGGTGAAGCTTGCTTCTGTTGGACTGGAGCCCCTGCCTTGGAGTTCCTACTGGCACACACCTAAGGCTAACAAAGCTTCTCTTCTGGGTTGGGCATGGTACAAAGCCCTGGATGTAGATGAGTCAATACAGACACCATCCCTGTCCTTACGGAATGCACAATGTGTGTGTGGAAGCATTAAACAAATACATTTATTTGCATAAATGTATAATATATGCATAATTATGTATAATTATATATGTATAATAGATGCATAATATATGATTGCCATTTGTGGTAAGTGCTGTGAAAAATAGCCCTGGACCACTATAGGAGAATAGCAGGCCCGTTTTAGACTTAGGGGGTACGGATGGTCAGCAGATGCCCCCCTCAAAAAGGCGACACTGACTTTATACTCTGAAAGATAAGCTTGGAGCGAGGACTGAAAGAATAATTGCAGGTGGGGGAACAGTGTCTATAATGGCCCAGAGTGGCGGAGTCCTGGAATATTCTGGGAACTAAGAAAGTTGGTCAGTGGGACAGGTGACTACTTATTTGTTAGGGTCTCAATTTCCTTGTTAAAGTGGGGCAGTCAGTCATCAGAGTAATTTTTTTTTTTTTGGAGGGTCTTACTATGTAGCCTTGGCTGCCCAGTAACTTACTATGTAGACCAGGCTGGACTGGAATGCACAGAGAGTCCCCTGCCTTTGCCTCCTGAGTGCTGGGACTAAAAATGTGTGCCACCACGCCCGGCCATATTGTTTTTAATGTTGGTACCTAGCCTAAGTCCTGCTGTAGAGCAGGTATATAAGAAACACTGAGCTAGGGGTGGTGGGTCACACCTTTAATCCCAGCACTTGGGAGGCAGAGGTAGGTGGATCTCTGTGAGACTGGGCCAGCCTTGTCTACATAGCAAGTTCTAGGCCAGCTGGGGCTACAGGGAGACCCTCCCTCAAATCCCCCCCAAAAGAAACACTGAGCTGCAGAGATTTAAGTACTTGCTCTGTTTGTTTTATTAGCTTCTGCGTAAGAACAGGTGAAACAGCACATGGGAGAGTGCCTTGTGCACATCAGGACCTATAGAAGAGGGCTGGAGATGCAGTTCAGTAGTAGAGCACTTGCCTACCATGCACAATGTCTTGGGTCCAATCCCCAGTACTGCAGGAAAACAAAAATGATGCAGACCTACAGTCAGCTGTGAGGTTACAGCATTGAAGATGCTGATGAGCACAGTGAAGGGCGGTGTGTGACACAGGCCTGGCACAAATGCTAGACAAAGAAGGAAGAATGACTCATTTCTGTGGCAGGGGAAGGAAAGGCTTTGTAGAAAATAGTGTTTTAGCTGGGCTTTAAAAAGCTGGTATAATTTTGATACAGCAGAGCAATGGAGGGGGCATCAGTGGGGTGAGCAATATATTCAAGAACAGTTTGGAAAAACTTAGAGGAGGCACATTTGGGGGTGCTGAGTGCACTGATGTGTGGGGTTGGGGTGTTAGGCTGAAGACTTCCGAATGAGAAGGAGGGAAATCTGTGCTTTGTGTCTATCAAGTCAGGTACATTATCTGGCAGTTAGTGACTCAGGCCTGAGTCAGCCTGGAGGTGTTGGGGGGAGACAATGTCTTTCTGCTGGTAGCCTTCATGTCCATCATCTGGAGATGTGAAAACTCAGAAGATTGCCTGAGCTCCTGATTTCAAGCCCTGCCTGAAGCAAGGGGCTCATCTTCCATGCTTGCTTGTTTGAGATGACTGCTCATTACTTACACCCAAAGTACCTCAGGGATCTGGTTAGGAGTTTTCAACAGACAGTGAGAAGCAGTAGAAGGCTTTAAAAGAGATGCCTCATTGTAAGGGCTCGAACAGCATGGGCAATGATCTGGACTGGGGACTGCTACAGTCAGGAGAGTAACCACAACATAAACAGGGAGGACATGGTAATGGGGTACATAAACCTAAGTGTTAGTGTCTCAAAAGTTTAGATACAGTGGAGCTGGTTCTGGATGGCAGTGGTGTCAGTGGAAATAAGACAGATTTGAAAGAGGCTGAAAGAAGATGAAAATCCTCCCCAAGGCAGAGGAGGGGATCTGGAAGACCAAGAACCCCCAGAGGGTTAGGGCCTGGTGAGCTGAAGACAACAGGGCCTGCTGGGAATGTCACTTCATGCCACTACCTTGTCCTTCCTCACATCTCACCTTTGACACATTCTGGAGCTGGGGAAACTTCATTGTCTCTCACTTGTGTAGACCACTTACTTGCTGTATGGCTTTAGGCAAGTTACCTAACCCTTCTGGGTCCTCATCTAGTACATGAAGATAATGTAACAATAGCACCAAATTCACAGAGCTCAAGAGAACACACAAGCTCTTTACTATGCCCACCCAGCACAGGAAATCAATGAGTCTAAGTGTGAGTGTGTGTAGGGTGCTCTGTGACACAGCTATTCCTGGTTTACAGAGGAGGAAACAAACCTGGGGGTTGAGTAGTTGCCCATAGCCACCCTGTCCTGCTAATTCCTGGTTCTGTGTTCCTTCTACAAAGCAACAAATGGCCTCACGCTCACCACCAGTAGCTAAGACAGAGAACTATGAGTCATGAACTATGAACTATGCAACTATGAGTCAATGATAGGGCAGGCTGTGTGAAGAAGAGCCAAACTCTGAAAACCCTGGTATGAAAGAGGCCAGAGGTTAGGACACACGCCAACTTCATGATTCTTAAACATTTCTATGGATGGAGTTTCAGGTTAAAAAAAAAGCCCTCTTCCTTAGCTCTTAGATTCATTGTTATCTTTAACTGCCTCATGGCCATGGGAGATTCTTTATGGTTTGAGATCTGATGCCCCACATGTTCCCAGCCAGGCTTCCCTTTTGTGATGTCTGACCTCAGATGTAAGAATGTTTGAACCATCCATGTTTGACAGGAACCAATATGCTTTTTTCTTAAATGCCATTTCTGATCTAAATTCTAGGGTATTAAAAAAAAAAAGTACCACTTTTCCCTTCAATCTGCATGTCAAATTATTTGAGGCTGTTTCCTAATTATCATTATTTATATATCACAGTGGTATTTCTTGGCATTTTACAAAACAGAGGAAAGCACCCTCCCAGGCACAGATACTTAGAAGACAGTTAAGACAATGCATTTATCAAACACCAGGTGAGAGGGTGGACATGAATCATACATGACAAATTGCTGGCTTCTCCCCTCCTCAGCTTGGCTCAATCACAAAGCAGCCTGCTCAGTTCCAAGTCACAGATGTGGTTTATCTTGTTAGCTGCACAAGCAAACCCTACACAAGGCAGTTTCCCTGGGTAAAACTACAACAGTAGAGGACCTTGCCAGGAACCAGGCGCAAGAGGATTTCATCAGATGGGGAAATCACAGAGAGGTGGTGGCCTGTCCCCTCTGCCCCCTACAGGTGTTTGCAGCAGGGGCTGAGGGAAAGTTCACAGAGGAGGGCATACCAACAGGGCTCTGGAGGGTAAGGGCTTGGCAGCTGAAGGAGTGTGAGTTGGCTCGGGGGAGGACATCAAGATGGCGATCCTAGAGGACTGGCCTCTGCTTTCAACTTTGTAGTTCACGCTGCTCCCACCACCGGCACAGTCTTTGCCGAGCACTGGGGAAGGACCAGGCATTGTTTTGTTCCCTTGGCAGATTT